TGCAGTCTATCTCTCTGTAGGCGCCGACCCTGCCTCCTTGGTTTGGCTTTGGAGTCACCTAAGTGGAATGGACATGAGTGAGCACTTGAAAAAGAAACGGTTACTTCCCTCTTGTAACTGCTGTTCTTCAAGATGTGTTGCTCATGTCTATTCCAAATCCCACCCACCTCCCCTTCATCCGAGGATTCTGGCAAGAAGGAACTGAAGAGGTGGAGGGCCATCGGGGTATATATGCACCAATATATGCACCATTTCAGAGGGCTCCTTGGCTGGCCCAATGGGTACCGCTGTGGGGAAAAAACTTTGAAATCTGGGCACATGCACACCTAAGTGCAAGGGTGGGCAAAAGGGCCTCCACGGGCCAAATCCCACCCGCCAAGTGGGTTGAACTGGCCCACGGAGGCCCTGCTGCTCCCCTGCCCCCAGGCCAGTCGGGGTGGGGGGAGCGTGCAAAGTTTCCTCCACCCTGCAAAGAGCAGGTGGTGCTCCTCTTGTGTCATACATACAGCATTCCTATTAATATACCCCAGAGTTGAAAAGGATTTGTTTTTTCTCTGCTCTGTACCCAAAGTTGAAGAATTCATCCTGGTCAAGTCCCGTGAAGTGCTTAGCACCCTCAACTCACACTGAATTTATTATTGTTAATTTATTACTTTATATTGACGTAGCACCTGGAGAAGGGGTGGGGAATCTTTTTTGGGTTGGGGGTCGCTGACCCACAGAAAAATCAGGGGAGGTGGCGGCTGGGGGGCTTGACCGCCAGGGTGGGCTCCCCAGTGATGGGGCAGGCCCTAAGTCTCAGGGTCCAGATCTAGGCAACCGAGGGGCTGCTGGATGCCCCTATCTAGAAGATCTGATGATCAAAGTAATCTGTTGTGTGCTGTACAAATGCAGAATAAAGATGTCTTCCACGTAGGAAAGAAAAACTCATGTACAATTGCAAAATGGAGAATAACTGGCTAAGTGGTGCAGCTGAAAAGAATCGGAGTTATCGTGGATCACAAACTGAAAATGAATCAACCACATGATGCAATTGCAAAAGAGGCTAATATTCTGGGGTGTATTAATTAGGGATGTAAAATCTAGTTCAGTTGATTAACCAATTAAAGGGAGTCAGGTGGTGGTGATGGGAGTTGCTCTAGCCCTGCTGGGCTGGAGCTCCTCCTCCACTTGCTGTAGTTGGGCCAGCTGTGGACAAAGGCTGTGCTTGATAGCCAAAGCCACCCCTGTCTATGGCAGGCCTACCACAGATGGGCTGCTCTGGTTGGGCTGGAGTGTCCCTGCCCACTGTGGGCAGGGAGCTGCTCCAGCCCCCACTGGTTAACTTTTCACATCTCCAGTATTAATGAAGGTATTGTATGTATGACACAAGAGGCAGTTGTTCCACTGTACTCAATCGGGGGAGGGGAAGGGAGCCCTGAGTTGGAATATGGTGTTGAATAAGAAAGATGTGGACAAGTTGAAGAGAGTCCAGAGAAGAGCAACAAAATGATAACAAGTTTAGGAAATGTAACTTATGAGGAAGATTATTTTTAAAAAAGAGCATGTTCAGTACTGAGAAAAGGAGGAACCTGATAGCAGTCATTGAATATGTTAAGAGTTGTTACAAAGAGGACTGTTGTCAATTGTTCTCTTTGTCCACTGAAGGTAGGCCAAGAAATACTGCGCTTCATCTGCACCAAGGGAGATTTAGGTTAGAGACTAGGAAAATCTTTGTAACTGTAAGGATAGTTAAGCATTGGAAAAGATTTCCAAAGAATGCTGTGGAATTCCTGTCATTGGAGGTTTTTAAGACGAGATTGGACAAAACCCCATCAGGATTGATTTAGGTTTACTCAGTCCTGCCAAGATGGAGGGGGCTGGATGTGATGATTTGTCAGAGTCCCTTCTGGCCTACATTTCTGTGATTTTTGTGATTCATTGCATAATTAAGCTAACCACCTGGGGTAGTTTAGGCCAGGTGTGAACCATCCCCAGGGCAAAGCCATATCCACATTAAGGATGTTAAGAAGTGGGTAACTGACTAATTTTGTAGTCGATAAAAGTTGTATTGACTAAATGATTAGTCGATAAGGGGCCCCACTGCAGCTCTGTAGTTTAAAAGTAGTAGGAGCTGGGCGCACATGCAGCCCAGCTCCTACTAATTTAAACTGCAGAACCACAGCAGGGATAGGTCCCAGACCCAGCGTGAGCTGGGGCTGAGCAATTCCAGCTTCTACTGAGTCCTGGACTGCTGTGCCTCTACATTTTAAATGTAGTAAGAGCCTGGCACTGGGTTCTGTGCCTCCCCTTCTCTCCCCTCCACCCCAACACACCACGGAGATGGTGCTTGGGGGAGCTAGTTTTTAAGCTGGCTCCCTCCAGCATTGGCTCCTGCCCCACCCCCTGCTGCTTTTGTTATAGAGGCAGCAAAAGTTGAGGGGAAGAGGGGAAGCGAGTAGTGACTCGACTACGTGATAAGCCTAGGCTTATCGGGTAGTTGATTACTTGACTAGTTGCTTACATCCTTAATCCACATTATGGTGGTCCTCGCTATTTCTTTATTTGATTATTTGTGTTGGGGGCATATCGCATGGTTCTCTGTGGTGAGATGCTCTGATTCTTTCCTAGTCAATTGCGGGAGTACGTGTTTGTTCTTTAGGGGGAAGTGTGGGAAAGCATTAGAGGTTTATCAGATCTTGAATGATTTAATCTGCATGCTTGCTGCAAAGGGGATATATTATAGTACAAGTTAAAATAGAGATCAGGTTCTAACCCTTACTCTGAGCTGGGTCTGCTAGCTCAGGCTTAAAAGGCTTTAATGTGCAGAGAATGGGGGAATAGGGCTTTTGGTTTTGTATGCTAAATCCTTGTAAGAGTCTGCATTAATTCTACTGTTGAGACACTTTCTTTGGGGCAGAATCTCTCTAAGAGTTTATAATCTAATTATGGATTATACTGGAGAGAGAAAATTCTATTTCTTGTATTTATAAAATATATACAAATATAAAGACATTTTAAAGAGTTTTAAGTAAAATCTCATAGTACCTTTCAACCTCTATTTTGCTTATGTGATGTTTAGGGCCCAATTTTGCAGTGTGATCTGTATAGGTGAACTCCTGCTCCTGTTTGAAGATCATTTATTTCCCATCCAGCTATGTTTATCAAATTACAGTTTTAGACTCTGATCCTGAAAACTCTCTTAAACCTGGTCCTGCTTTATGTCTGTAAAGCATCTAGAATACTTCATGTATGTTATATAAATAATAGTAATTATAAAACAGTTTATGGAACCTGAATTGTATTCTTCTAGGCCAGTGGTCTCCAACCTTTTTTAACCACAAGATCACTTTTTCAATTTAAGTGGAACATAAGATCTACCTCAAACCCAAATACCCTTGTCTCACTTCCTTCCTGCCCCTTTTTTGAGGCCCTGCCCCTATTCCACTCCTTCGAGGCCTCACCCTGCTCACTCCATCCCCCTTCCTCCCTCATCCTCACTCACTTTCACCAGGCTGGGGTAGGGGTTTGGGTTGCAGGCTGTGATATCTTGGGCCTAGGAGTTTGGAGTGTGGAAGGGGCTCTGAACTTAGTCCAGGGTGGAGGTTTGGGGTCCAGAAGAGGTTTCCGGGTGTAAGCTCTGGGAAGGAGTCTGCGGCAGATGATTGGGTATGGGAGGAGGTTAAGGGGTTGGGACAGGAGTTCAGGAAGCAGGCTCTGGCTGGGTACCATTTAACTAAGACAGCTTCTGGTAGTGGAGCAGTGGGGTTAAGGCAGGCTTACTCCTGCCCTAGCCCTACACCACTTCTGAAAGCAGCTGGCATGTACAACAATGGCTCCATGGTCCCATGTGCTGCCCCTCATCTACAGGCACTGAGCCCACAGCTTCTACTGGCCACGGTTCCCTGTTATTGATCAATGGGAGCTACAGGAGTGGTGTCTGCAGGCAAGGAAGCATGTGGAGACCCCCTGCTCTGCCTTTCTCAGGGGCTGCAGAGACATGCTAGCTACTTTCACAAACAGCGGTTACCATAGGGATAATTACGCCAGCCACGGCAGGTTAGGCATTTTAGAACTCACTACTCAAAAGAATTAAATTTTAAGCATGAGAGAGAAATAAAAATTATAAAATGCAGAAACCAATCAACAACTAAAAATAACACACTTTGGAGCAGTAAAAGAGTTAACAACAACCCCACCACCTCCATGTATGTGTTGGGTCAGGAGATGAGAGTGAAGGACCGTGTGTTAGTGAGAATGACAGACACACACACACTTTGTTAGAGTGACAGGCTACCTCCAGACTGCATCCCTCTGTCGGCAGAGGGATGCAAATAAAGCACTTTGAAAGTGCAAATGGGCCCGGGATTTAAATATCCTGGGCTTCATTTGCATACTCACATTCCGGCGCTGTGCCGATCAAAAAATGAGTACAGGATCTGTCGAAAAAGCTCCCTGCTGTTGGCAGAACCGCGGCTACACAGAATTTTCACTTTCAAAATGGTGTGTGATCAGCATGAGTATGCAAATGAAGACCAGGATATTTAAGTCCCAAGCTCATTTGCACTTTCAAAGTGCTTTATTTGCATCCCTCTGCTGACAGAGGGTTGCAGTCTGGAGGTAGCCACAGAGATTTGCATTGCAAAGCTCCCTCCATCCCCTTCTCTCTGTGTGGAGATCAAGTACAGATGTGGGGGGAGGAGGGAAACCCTGACATCAGCGCCCCCCTCTCTTTTCCCTCTCATGTCCTGCACAGCAAGCATGAGGCTCCCAGGAGGGCAGCTCCAAGGCAGAGGGCAGGAGTGGGTGGCATGGTAGTGGGAGAAGGGTCAACTGAAGTTCCAGTGCTTGATAGCTTCCTGTTCAAACCAGTCAGGAGCTCCAAGATCTGCTAGCAGATCTGGATCTACTGGTTGTTGACCACTGTTCTAGGCTATAACATTGTTTATTTAAATTTATAACTATTGTGTGCATGTATATACCCAAGAAGAAAAGTAGTTAGTTGTTTGTTTTTCTTGTAGCTAACAGAAGATGAAATAGCAACCATTCTTAAATCTACACTTAAAGGACTTGAATATTTGCACTTCATGAGAAAAATACACAGAGATATAAAGGCTGGAAACATTCTCCTTAACACAGAAGGACATGCAAAATTAGCTGATTTTGGAGTGGCTGGCCAATTAACAGTAAGTATATGAAAAGGACAGAACTGTTTTAGATTGTTATAGTGTTTAGAACCACTGTTTAAAAAAAAAAAGGGGGATTTCTATTTTTTCATTTCCTTTGATCATTCTTCATGGCCAGAAGTGATTGGTGATGATGGGAAAGACAGCACCCTTCTTTGAATTATGATTATTTTGTTGTTCACTAACTTTATTGAACTTACCTAACTTGATTAAAACACCCATAAAACCATCACCTTTTATGCCTTTAATATGATTTTAGTTGGTTGGCAAGGGGGTACAACTCCTCATCTAAATATCTGTCTAGTTTTACAACAGGCTACATAAAAACTAGGAAAGTCAGTATAAACTAAAATTTCATGAAAACAAAATGAGAAAGTAAGCAATGTAAAAATAATAGTGTTCTGTGACACTTTCGGATTTTTATGTCTGATTTTTGTAAGTATTTTTTAAGTAATGTAAAACTTGATGCTATGCAAGTAAAAACAGAGTCCTGAAATGGGTACAATAGTCCGGAAAGATAGAGAATCACTTCCCTAGGTAGATTAGTAGAATGTGTGTGCATACTGAAGATCCATCAAAGGGAAGTCAAACTTATGGAACCCAAGGAAGCCCAGAAAACATGTCGTCATATTTTGAACATCTCAGTTTATTGATCAGTCTTATCCTGGTGACTTATGTGACCAGAGCTTGGAAGAATACCATTTTCTATTTAATCAATTTTGACCCTTTTCTGGCACCATTAAGTTGCAAGTGTTCTAAAACTTGGAAAGTGACTGGCTCTAACTTGTTAGTCATATGGATTTACTGGCATTGCTACATTTCAAAAGAGCTTGATCCTTTGTTATGGCAGTTGGATCATGAATGTTTGCATTTTTTGTGTGTGACATAACAGGAATAACTTTTACATTATCATTGTAACAGTGTCTGCTGAACATTATAAATTCAACTAAATATATGAAGTGATCCTTCTAAAAATATTAGAAATGAAGCAGTTAGCAGTACAAATTGATAATTTAAGAGTAAAATTGTTATAAAAATATTGTAGTTAGCAATCTTAGCAAATAATTATTATTTTACAGATATAAATATGTATATAAATAAAAATCCTTGAAATTTAGGGTTAATCTTAGATTTTTCAAGAAATTTGAACATGTGAGAGTTTGGAAATTGAGTTAAAGTACCTACACCAGGGCTGGCAACAGACTTCACCAGGCCGTGGAAAAGATAGGGTGATGACTTGGTTCTGAGTCCCTGGAAGAAGCGGGGCCTTGGGTGGAAGAGGTGGGGCTAGCGCTAGCATCTCCCATCCAGCTCTCAGTGCCGCATGGGGCTCTGAAGGCAGTTTAAAGGGCACAGAACTCCTGTTGCTTTTCACTGCAGTAGCAAAGGATTTCCAGGCCCTGGGACAGATGTCCCCTTTGAATGCCCCCACCTTCCCAATGTTGGTGGCCCTAATCCATACTACCTTAATTCTGTCTGTAGGTGGTCATCAGAGTTGGGTGGGGATAGCATGTAGTTTTGTCCCTTCCCACCTAACATCCCTCAGTCTTTCTAAATATATCCTCTTTCCTTCCTCCTGCACTCTGTGTTGGAGATATGGAAAACAAACAGTCCTTCCATTTGATGTTTACACGTGAAACCTGGCCTGTGTCTCTGAAGCTACTGATGGTCTAAATTAGTTTGGCCCCATTCCCATTTTAAAATGCTAATACTTTTTAAAAATGAGTTTAAATCAACCAGACTTTGTCCTGTTGATTAAATGAGTCCAGTAAACTTTGTGGCAAAAATTTGAAAGAAAAGAAGATAAAGTGGCAAAACACCTTAGACTTATTAGATTCTGAGGAAGCTCTTTATTTTAAGAGCAAAAAAATCAAGAAATCCCTTGTTTCATTTACTGCAAGTTTGGAAAGAAAATTTTCTTTCAGTCACCCATGTCATCTCACAGTTTTTAGGGTATTTGTTTATATATTTAGGAGGGGGATTGATGTAGTACCTACAATCGAAATTCATTTCTAACTATGAAATATGAAACAAATGAAATGGAAAGGGAAGGATCTTGCAGGAGGGAGTTATTCTGCAGAATAACCATAGGGGGCAGCAAGGTGCCAGAGATGACAACTATAACCTCATTGGGCCAGGAGGGACCAGTGGTGAAGAAAGGCATAGCTAACTATTACATATTTCAGAGAGTTTATCGTGTGTCTGTCTGTGTGTAGTCCCCTTCCCTCAGCTGTGTCCACTGGAGCTCCAGCAGCCATAGACAGGTGGTTTTCACCTGGTCCCAAGCTGCTGTGGTGAGAGAGGGCTGGGGGGTGTCCTCGCTCTTCCTGGGGCAGCGTGTATACTGAATCCTGCATCCCTAGCTCCACTCCAGAGCAATGATTTAAATGAAGAAAAACAATCAGTTAAGGACCCAGATAAATCTTCTAGTAATTTGTATACTAAACGGATGAATACTGCCCATGTGAATAGTGTTTTATATTTACAACTCCTACAAGTCTCCTCATAGTCAATATTTATCCAAGGTATCCTCATAGTCAATATTTACTCCAGTGATAGGTATGCTGGAAAAGTCAGTAAGAAATAAATAATTCCACTAGGGATCTAAGTACACTAGAGATGTAAGTTCTAGTGAAAATGAAATACAAGCTAAAGTTAAACACTTGAGTGTGCAATGTTTAAGAAGAATCATTTTTTGACAAGCTAATGGAATTCCTCAGAAAGAAATGTGCTGTGCTAGCAATCCAAAGAAAATGCCATGTTATCTCCTAGGCACAGGAGTAGGCCTATCTGTCCTGGTTCAGTCAAGGGTCGGATAACAGTTTCAGACCATGAGATCTGGCATCACTGGGTACATCTACACACAGATGAAACCCTCCATCCTTGCCAGGTGAGAGAGGTTAGGCTCCAGCTCCAGCCCAATCATCTGCACAGCAATTTTTTTCAGGGCCAAAGCCTGAGCCCTGCAAACCTAAATCTGCTGACCCAAGCCAGCCATGGTTTTTTTTATCTTAATGCTGATGTACCCTTAGACACTGTCTCCATGCTATGTTCTCATATCACCTGCAAATCAGTTACCCTGGTGCTGCTCTTCCACAGCAATAGCTTTAGGCCACTTACATTGAGAGATAATGAGGCCATGTGTTCACTTGTGGGAAGATCGATGCTGCTGTGGTAAAGACCCACTGAATCAAACTCTAAGGATGCCCCCCATCAGTGGTGGTACTCCTACTCTTCACGAAGCGTAAGGTAAGTCAGCTGGAGTGTTTCTCACATCGACCTCCCACAGTGAGGACAGTGCGGAAACTTTGTTTAAGGTACACTGACTCCAGCTATGTCTTTTAAGTAGCTAGAATTGCGCACATTAAGCTGACCTTCCCCTGTAATGTGAACATTGCCTTAGTCTGCTCTACAGACTTAGTTCATAATCAGCTGACTTATAGCTCAAGCGGTAGAGGCTCATGCACAATGCTCCATAGGTCCCAGGTTCGGGTCCTCTTGTCAGAGTTACATAACCATAACCGTGTGACCATCCTTCCCCCATTCAATAGGTATTTTGATTAGTAATAGTCAAGAACAGAATTCAGGATTTGATCAATTAGTTGATTTTGACAGTGTTCATAATTCTAGACCAGTTTTTGTATTACTTGATTGAAAAAAATATAGAATGTGTTATCTAAGGGTGAAAATAATTAAAAAATACTGCTTTTTGAGAAGTTCATGGATAGGTGTTGTCCAGGGACAGTACTGCCACCAGTTTGATATCCTTTTGTTTATTGAAATGCACTATAAATAATAGTTATGCCTTTCTCATAGGTAGGATTCTAATAAAAATAGTTATTTTCATGTGTCATTTATAATTAGAATCTATTCCAGGCTAATAACAAGACATTATATGTTGTTAAAAGGCAGTTTGTTTCCCAGTATGTCTGTGAATATTTAATCATGACATACATACTTCCGTATAATATTATTTAAACTTTTTTGTCAGTAGCTCATGAGCCATCATGTTAATACAAATACAGGGAACCATAGCGGTTGAGTAAAAAGGTGCTGTTTTTATATCATGACAATAAATTGAATACACAAGAGTCTTTAGTAGACATGTTTTTTAAAAACCAGGGAAGGTCTCTAAAGTTGCAAAATGTTTTTTTTGTGAGTAGTTAAAGCAAAACTACAGATTGTTTTGTGATCTGAAACATAGCATTTAAAGAATCACCTAATAAAACTTTTGGCAAAGCCATTGTTTTTAGCTATTTTGTAATTAAAGTATGAATCAAAATAATTCAAATTGAGATGAAGACAACATATCTTTTTCAAGCTCACCCTTTTTTACTGAGTGGCTTAATTAATGAAGATTTAACATTTTAAACTGTTCTCAAGAACTGTATTGATTGCAGATTTATTAAATTTGATTGTATTGAGTTTTTTTTTTTAGTTTTACTGTTTTACATTAGCGAAATCATCTTTATTACATCTGGGATCATTTTAACGTAATTGCACGTAGTTTCACTAGATAATGAAAGGTAAGGACTAAATTATCATAGAGGATTATATGAGTATGACAATAGCTGCTTATAAACCAAAGGTCACTGTTTTGAATTTGAAAGCTTGTGAATCTTTTTAATTCTTGTAATCAAATGAATGATATCAAAGGCCAAAGTAATTTAACATAACAATTTTGGATTATACAGAACACATGTTCTGGTTAATAAATTGTGTTATGGTCTTTAAGGACTTGTATGCCTTTAATAGTCTTTTGTATATTTGATACCCAAAGTTTTTCTTAATTTTTATTAGTGAGTTGTTACAGTGGTTAACAAGAAATACACAGATTTAAGTTGCAATGGTTTTCCAGGAGTTATATGATCTAACTTCACAGGATCCTTGTACATATGCAGATGCTTTTCTATTTTGTTTTAGTTATGACATACAATTGATATAGGCAAGCATGAAAACTTGGGCAAATTTTCATTGCTGTTTCTGGGCCTTGCTTGAGTTCTGTGGTACTTATGTAAAGTACAATTTTGTTACGTGGTAATGCATGTTGGAATTATTATATGCACTATTTTGCTGTAGGCTGGTTGGCATTGCCACAAATGTAATACACTGCCAGTAGACCATTTCCTTGTCGACTGCATTTACAGTTTAATAGAAATATTACATGACTTTTTTAAACAAGTGTTTTGGCAGGGAGGAAATAGGAGATTCCATGCAAACAAGCATAGCTTCCTCCATTTAACCACACTCTAGCTACTCCAAAGAACTATACTAAGTTTCAGTTTAGGGGAGGATGAAAAGGGGGGAAAAGGCATTTCAGGTTGAAGAATAGCAATGATTTCTTCTTGTAAAGTACTTAAACTTGTGGTTAAATATTTCAGACTACATAAAGGTGATGAGTGCCATTTCATCTGATTGTGTTGAAGCTTAGGACCACCATGTTTGGCTTATGCTAGAAAGCCCATGACCATAAACCAACCCAATAGTCTAATAGTAGCACTTTTTTCATCCATGTAATGGTCCTGGGGTTGCCTCACCCTTCTGGTGTCTAACTTAATTTATGCTGCTGGTAGTTAGATAAGGACATACAGGCTGAACCTCTCTGGTCTGGGTCTCTCTCGTCCAGCAACATCTGTGGTCCAGCAGGACCATGGATGTTGCTGGACCAGAGACCTGCTGGACCAGAGAGTCTCAGCTGCAGAGATTGATATTAGCTGGAAGTGGAGCTGGTTTGTTGGGCTGGCAGCCCCAGGGCCAATGGCTAGAGAACCTGCTGGGAGTGGGGCTGGCAGCCTGTAGAGCACTGCCACCCTGCATAGGGCTGAGAGCAGAACCCTTGGAGCAACTGCTGACCTGCATGAGGCTGGGTGGCTAAGAGAAGAGTTTGGAGGGATGGCAGCCCATGGGACTGGGCGACTGGGAGCAGAGCCCTGTGATCAGGTTTGGGGGCAACATGTTGGCCAGGCCAGCAACTGGGGACAGCCCCAGGTGAACCCACAGGCCAGAGCTCCCATGGTTCAGCAAGTTCTCTTGTTCAGGACCACTCAGGTAACGATGGTGCCAGACCAGGGAGGTCTAATCTGTACTTCAGAAAGTAACATTTATTCTTCACGAAGAGTAAATATTCTTCTCTTTGATGAAGGAAGTCTTAAAAGGGAGAAAGCTTATGGGTATCCTCAGGACTGCTCTGTAAAAGGCTAGACAACGGTATGGATGCCATCATATTTGTTTGCATTCTGTTACTATGTGTCTTTAAATGAAACTCTCAGCTACTTTATTTGCTCTTAACCTCCCTAATCAACAGTTACCTGCATTTCTGTTCTTCTCTACCATTTTATTTTGAAATGCAAACAAAAATTTGGCACTGGCCATATTTAATTTTGTTGTACTAGATATAGTCTAGACCCAGTCTTCAATGAAAATTCCAATTACCAATTTGGTAAATGAAAGCTTTTAGTTCTCTAGCAATATTTGCCCTTCTGATTATCAAGCTATGCCCTCCAAAATCCATACTTACTGGATCTTTAACAAGCAAAGGAAGTAATTTTTTTTTTATATGTAAAGGAGTCTTTCCCACCTGCGCTCGCTCGCTCGCTCGCTCGCTCGCTCTCTCTCTCTCTCTCTCTCTCTCTGTGTGTGTGTGTGTGTGTAGTGACAGGTTATTTATAGCCAAATTCATTGTCTTCCTGGTGTTTTGCTTTAACAAACAAATTTGGAACACAATATCCTAAAGTTTACTTTAAGTCTCTCTAAGCTTGACTTTTACTAGGGTTCCTCCCTCAGAACTGGTCAGTCCACAATCTAGATATTTATTTTTTTCTCTCCTGCAACAGTGCCACTCCCACTCCCTTATAGCCAGGTAAAGTCATGAATCACCTGCCTCAGAGTGCTGACGGAACCCACTTAATACTTCACCAACAGGATCAACATCTACTGACTGGGTGGGGTCCTGCAGGTAAATGCTGCAGGTCAGTTACAGAAACCGTATTCTCTTGTTCTTGTGTCTACTTTCTTTGTAAGCTTACCGCACACTCACAGCAATGCATGCAGCTGTGTTTTGAAACAGGTTGGTAGTAGCTGCATTTTCAAGATATCACAGTATTGGCCTTTGTTTTCTGTGATGCAGTTTATTGGTACCGGGCATATGGACATCATGTGTTCCACAGATTATTCTAGGAAACCAGTTTGAACTGTTTTGATTTGTTTTAAATCCAATCACGATATTTATTTTTCCATAGCACTTACCCGGATTATCCATACCTCCTGTTCAGCTTGTGTCACTTCCACCAAGGACTAAACTTCTTGTGTTCACCCTCCCCCGACATGTATCTTATAACAAATGATCTTCCTTCATATAGCTTTTGATACTGTATATGCTAACTTGTAATCTCATTTAAAAAAAGGATATCAAGTTTGGTAAAGGTAATAGTGTAATGAGGTAATTTTAGATTTCTGTAAAGTATTTTACTTGGTATCATATGTCATTTTGATTAAAAACCTAGAATGATGTTAAATTAACATGGCACATGTAAAATGGATTAAAAACTAGCTAACTCAAGTGTGTTTTTAGTTGAGGTCCTTGGTCCTTTGCTTGTTTAAATTTTCATCAATGACCTGTAAGACAACATAAAATCAGCATTGAAGTTGGCAGGTGATACAAAAACTGGGGGAGTGGTAAATAATAAAGAGAACAAGCCACTAATTTAGAGTGATCTGGATTGCTTGGTAAACTGGGCTCAAGCCAACAACATGTTTTTATGTGGCAAAATGTATACATTTGGGACCAAGAATGTAGCCATACTTACAAAATGGGGGACTCTATCCTGGAAAACAGTGGGTCTTAAAAAATCTGAGAGTAATGGTGAATATTCTGCTAAACATGAGATCCCAATGCGATGCTATGGCTGAAAGGATAATGTGATCCTGAATATGCAAACAGCTTTTATAGGGCTAGATTAAAGAGACAGTTCAAGTGTTGTCTTGATGACAGTCTGTAAGAACTTAAAGGGGGAAAATATTTAATAATCTGTCATGGGGTAGGAGCTACCTAATATTTGTACCTGAAATATGTGCTGTGTGCATTTTGATAGATGCAGTTTGTAACAGTTTACATTAAGAAATCCGATTCTAATGTTGCCCTTTAAAGAAGATTGCAGAAATTAATTGTGATTACAAAGTCATACTTAATTTATTATTACTTTTCTAATTCCATAATCTACCAAGAGAATGCCAGAGTGGCCTGATGAGACTGAGTAAGTAGGACTTCTTCAAGGAGTGTCACTCTGGGTGCTCCCCCTAGGTGTTTGAGCACCACTGCACTTCTAGTTGGAGAATTAAAATAGCAGTTCTCTTGGTCGATTGCTCACATGGAGCACCTAGCATGCGCTATTAGGACTGGCTACACCACATGCATGGCCAACTGAACCTTTCAGTTCCTTCTCTGCCATGTTGGCTTTGATTAGAACCCAGTAGTTGCTCTCAAAGATCAGTTAGATTCTTAGTTAGTTGTTAGTTCATAGTCTGTTGTTAGTTCATAGTCTAGTTAGTTGTAGTATTTTTTGTCTTTAAAAAAAAGGTTGGTTGTTCATTGTTCCTGCATTAGTGGTGATCTGTTATCTGGTCATATCCAGTTCTCCAGGTTTTAAAAGGGGTTTGACCTGCAGATTGTCAATACCTATTTTGGACAGATGCTTACAGTGTGTCCATTGCTTAGGTGAGGCACACTCCACCAGTCTGTGCCTTCACTGTAAAAAGCTCACCACCAAAATCAGAAAGGCAAGGGAGGTTCAACTCAAAATACAGCTCCTAGAGAAGTCTCTTCATCCACCCTCAGACCCAGAGCACACCACACCACCAAGACTACCCTATGGTGGTGTCAGAGAGAGCAGCTCCCTCAGACTTGAGCTCAAAGGATTTTGCTTCAGTACAGTCCTCTGAGAGACACTCCCACTCATCATCCAGGTGTGATTCCCCCACAAAGAAGCACGCTCTTACAAAAAATATCAGTCCCAGCACTGGCGGCACCCAGGTCACCAGACTGCAAGGCACCGGATACACCTAGCAATGTGACAGCTCGAGGAGTGAAAGACCCTACTCAGGCCAGCTCTAAGGTTTTCAGTTTTGGCACCAGCAAAACTGCATGCTACCTTGGCACCAAGTGTCTCTGTGCTGTCACCTTCTGCACTGTTGGTATAAGCCAAACACTTGGCACTGATGGCACAGCCTACCTTACAAGCAATGCCTCAGGCACAAGCCTCCTGGTACCACAAGCTTTTACTATGAATGTGGACTCTTAGTCATGTCGGTACCTGGAACACCTCTATTCAGTAGCAATGGCACACCAGATACCTCCTGCTTTAGTTTTTCAGCCATACAAGCTGGGTCTTCTTTTAAGTGATAAGGAAGACGACTCCTTCCTGGGTCTCCATAGCTCTAGGTACTTCTCGCCAAGACCAACATAGTAGCCACCTCAGTGGCAACCTCCTCAGTAGCTGCCCCCACTTATACCTATGCCATCCAGTTGGCCTTATTGGGATCCCTGGGCCATATACCAAGCTCAACAGCCTCAACCACTCCCACAGCCAGCTCTATTATGCAGAGCCTGGGCTTCTCCTGCACACTCAACAGATCAATTAATAGCAGAGGAGGAGGAAGACTCAGAGATCATGGAGGAAGAAATAGAAACCGACTCTCCGGCACCAGAACATATGCCATCTTCCTTACCAGATGATACCATCATGTCCCGACCCCTTATGTCAAGGGACAATTTCAAGTCTTTCTAGGAGCTTTAAAAGAGAGTAGAAGACTCCTTGGACATCTCTCTCTGATGAGCTTACCAGAGACCAAGCATAGACTTACAGACATTCTTCATGTCTCATCTCTGGTTAAGCTGGCGCTACCTATGAACCCAGTACTTATGGACCCAGCTAAGCCCATATGGCAGACCTCAGCCACTAGCCCCCCCATCCTGTAAAAGGTTGGAAGAAAAGTATTATGTGGCACCTCAGAGATCAGACTTCTTATTCTTTCATCTTACCCCTAACTCTTTGGTGGCATAGGCCATAAACCAAAGGGGCAAACAGCAGGCTGTGCACACGGTGTCATACAATAGAGACTGGAAGCACCTAGACCAGTGGTCACCAACCTTTTTCAGCGTAAGATCACTTTTTGAATTTATGGGCAACCCAAGATCTACCCTAAGATAATGTTGTAGATAAACAATTTATTTTTAAATTATGTGATATATAAAATTAAAATCACGTGTTTATAGTTATGAAATAAATGGTCTGTTTTTAATTTATGCTATTTAAATCTAAATTGAAGCATTGATGATTATACATTTTGTCCTCCAATAACAAAGTCTCAGCGTGACACCTGTGACTGAACAGTATTTGCCAGTGTCTTGAAGTCTGGGTTATAGTCTGAGATTGCTACTCATACACAGTCCATCAGATGGGCATCTGTGAGGAGGGTGTGATACTTGGACTTGATTATCTTCAATTGGGAGAATGGTGTCTCACAGAGGTATGTGGAACCAAAATAAGCCTTCACTTTGAAAGCACAAGATGGTAGAAGTGGATAGTTTTCTCTGTTTACAAGTCTCCAAAAATCACTGTCCCTTGCTCTGACTTTCAGCTCAATATCATTTTGCATAGTAATTATCTCCATGTCAAGTCCACTGCTTTGTATATGAAATACCTGATGAAATTTGGTAGCCAAGCCACTAATGTCTTCTACTTGAAGGAATGGATTTGAGATAAACATGATAAACATGGTTCTATCATCTAATTCCTGAAATCTCCTGTTGAATTCCTCTGTTAATTTCTTCAGGTGTGCACAGAAGTTTTCTGGGTGGAACCATTTTTCTTTCTCATTAATTTTTTCTAGTACAGGCAGTCCCCGGGTTATGTACAAGATAGGGACTATAGGTTTGTTCTTAAGTTGAATTTGTATGTAAGTCGGAACTGGCTCCAGATTCAGCCGCTGCTGCTGAAACTGACCAGGGGCTGACTACAGGAAGCTGAAGGCAGAATTGCTCTGCCCCCAGCTTCCTGGAATCAGGCACTGATCAGTTTCAACAGCGGCTGAATCTCGAGCCTGGTACAGAACAGCTGGGGCGCCAGGGAGGGGCCTCCCGG